GCAATTGTGAGTATTTGAGATTTTACTGTTGTGCTAATCAGAGTCTTTTTACATGATTATTATGTGTAATACAACATTTATTAACGAATGAAAATGTGTGCTGTAACTTTGAGACGACACTTACGAGTAGAATAGTATGAAGAACTACTGAAAAACACGAACAGATAATATAACACATACACAAGTATCTCTTTTGACAGGTATATAAGAAAAGTTTTATTTATGATAGTACTTGTTGTTTGATTATTGTTCTAAAGCTCTACATTACAGATTGATGTATTAGGTTCTTCGTGATTGAGAGATGACAGTAGTTTCACGTATCGGTTGCCATTTACCAGGAAACCAATTAATGAGTTCCTTACGAAATAATTTACTTGACAGTGTGAATAGATAAAAACTCAGACATGGAACTGTAAGAGATACAAAACCAGTAATGCGTTGTAATAAGTTGTCTTTAGCTAATTGCAGAGCATCTATTGTGATATTTGATCTGAGTGATGTATAGAGATAGTCAACTGTAGAAAGAGATCCTGTAAAAATAAACACAATACACTGAACAAGCATCCTTGGAATCATTTGTCGGTCTATTGATTTTCGAAGCTGCTATTGTGGAACTTGCATATGATTAGTATTTAGTCCAACGCGTCTAATCGATTGATGAATATTTCGAACAGTACTTAATTCAAAGAAAAGCATGAACATCGATGAAACTAAACTGAATGCAACAAGGTGCCATGCACCAAAAAATTGTTGATATGTGCTTGGCATCGAAACACATGTTTGTTGTTGGATATTAATTCGAAAAAAGAAGAGTACATGAACGTATGCAAGACCAACAAGTAGAATTGTGAGAGGGATAGCACGATAAGCGACATGAAGACTACTTAATGCACGAAAACGAAGCATATGGTGAGCTGCATAAAAACCTATAAGAAAAAAATGCATTTGAGATGATCAATTGACCTTAACATTTTTCAACAGTTCTGAGAATTCTATTCGTCCAATTGCAATTTTATCTGACCTAAGAGAATACTAATTTATAATTTAGCAAACTCTTATAACTCTTTTAAGAATATGTTGTTTACGAAAGCGATCTAATTTCTCATTAATAGTTACGCACTTAGTTCAGTGGTGATCAAGTTTACAGTCAAGAAATGAATTTGTTTGAACTGAAAGTCTAAATATTTATAAGAGAGTATTCTTTAATATAGGATGTACTTTCTTAAGTATCATATATATTATGAACGATAAACGCATAATGAATATCATCTTCGTAGATTCGTCGTGTGGTCATCTGCTTCATCGTTAGTATCACCATTGCATCTCTACACCAAATGTCTATAGTTAGTAGATAAAGTGAGAAATAAAGCTTTAAGAGGATGATTAACACAGAGAAAACAGTAAGAATACAAAACAAAAACTTATGTGTAATATGAAATGCAAGAATATGAAAATAACATGATACTATGATAATCGAATTCATACATATATGATGTAATAGATGAAAAATGAAGAAAAATGCTGCTTATTTTGGAAAAAAATCTCAAGTCTATTCATACGTAATTTCATGGCTCTTAGACTTTAATATAATAATGTTTGAAAACGACCAATTATTTCAGAATCTAACTTTGTTTCGAATTCAAGTATAATTCAACTTATCTATCAATAGATGTCAAAACAATAAACTATGCATACAGTGCTCTATGAAAACAAAAAAGAAATTATTTGATTGATTATGTACAATTTCATTCATTACTTATTACACATGAAAAGCAATGTCAGAATGTTACATGCTGTCAATGATTGTACAAAAATATTGATCTGATATACAATTTGAAGAAGTTGCAAGAATATATTGATACCAACAACACAGACGCTACTAACAGTTGCTACCAAAAAGTAACATGAACATGGATTTGAACGAAGACACATATGCTCAATGTATGACCAATGAGACCGAGAACAATCATTAAATAGCATCAAATACTTACAAATTTAATTGCGATTTCATCGATTACAGCAATCTGACTAGCCTTATATTCACTGACGGCATGTTTACTGTTGAAAGATACTTGTTAACAAAAATAAAACGATTCGAAGACCATTCTAGAAAGAATCACTGTATAATAATAACATACATTCATTCTACATTATATATTCTATGTCATTCTAGTCTATGAGTTAATTAAAAATTTTCCGACATACTTTCTATTTATTAAGTCATTGAAAGGTCTATAATTTAGTGATTTCTTGCTGTGTATTCTATAATTCATTTCTTTCCTTTGATTCCAGAGAATAATGAAAGAAGATGTTAAGAATCTTCTTTTGGTCTGTCTAACATTTATTCATAATGCTTATTAACACAATATACAATGAGCATGATTATATGTTATATGATTATTAAAATAGCATTTCGTAAACTGTTCATATGATCGTGACATACATAGAGGAACTTTGAACCTTTTCATTAAGCACACTTCTTCAGTCTGCTTGTATCAAAGTCTATCCAATCATTGAGCTTTGCTTTTTATGAATAGGCAATATAATTCTTTCCAAATTTTGTTTTTTAAACAATCACAGAAGTATTATACTAAAAATGATTGTAAGTTTTATGAATTATTAATGACTCTATAAGAAGATGTGGATGCTTCAATGAACATATTTTCTACAAAGTTGAAAGTTTAAATCTATGAACAACTTTTATGATATTTAAACATGTTCAATAAATAATATATTATATTTATCTATGTAGAACAAAGTAAATCTAAGTATTTTTTTTTGTAAGCACTCTGTATGAATTGCCCAGTAGTTTAATAATTTGTTCAATCTTCAAATTAATATATCAATAACTAATATAGTCTGCTTCTTTAAAAAAATCTATGTAATCATTACACGAATAGTACGTGTATCAGCAGTCATTTTGATTTTTTCAATGAAAACATTCTGATGTAAGTAAAGGAATAGTTCTCCATGTTGACTGATGATGAGCATTATCACTGAAAGGAACTTCGTATTATGTACAATGTGTATATATATATATATACATATTTTCTTCTTTCCTTTCCTTTCCTTTCCTTCGCTTTAAGGTATTTTCCACTCGTTCTGTTCTCTTGATACAGCCCAGGTAGCTTTTCTACTTTCACTGTGTATTCTTCCTAATCGCATGGAGTTTTTCCTATTTCATTCAAATATATATATATGTGCATAGCTTTCATTTAGAAAGCGAAAGACTTGGTTTAGTATTGATGTGTTAGATCAATCACCTGTTAACAATATTAAATATATTTGTATTTAAACATGGCAACAGCTATAGAAATCGTGGAATTGCTAACTTATGTGTTTGACGAGAAGATAAATACAAATGACACTGTAAATCATGGAAGAAAGAAAAGAGTCAAAAAAGAGACAATGAAATTGGGTACAAGAAATGGTGCTGAACAATGTTAAACAAGCTGAAGAAGCGATAATAAAAAGCGTGATTGGTGCAATAAACTTTTGTTAATTGTAAATATACTATTTTTATTGATATAGATTAATAAAATTGAACAAAAATAAATTAAATATTGAGTCTTAATAAAAAAAAAAGCGCTGAATATTCACTGTCGAACAGTGAACAATTCAATAGAAGCCATATCTATATAATTCTAACGCATTTCGTTTGAATTTGATAAGTATTAAAAAAAATCTGCAAGTATTTACTTGGAAAAGTATTTGTAATAGAATACATACTGTATTTAAACATGATTTTCTCATCACTTATTGTTAATTTAAGATAATGTCTCAGCTTTGTTTCTTGTGTCTGATCTTTTAACAGGAGTACTTTGCACTTTAATTGGCTTTGAACGAAAACACCCATACACGTTAAACCCTAAAAATTGTGAAGAGTTATAAAATTTTTTCAGTTACTAATTGTTGAAATATAAAAATTTACAATTTGAATATTCACATTTTCGGCTATTCATATCGATATTTGAGATAGACCAACGCCTTTTCTTGTCTCCGTTGCACTCACATGTAGTTATACATGTAGAATTTGAAGACTATTTACAGAATTTTAACTGTTAAAAGTTGCATAGAACACATTTTGACAGGAATTATTTCAATTGACCTAAAGTTCTACGAAATTTTATGCTCAAAAAGTGTATTTTTTAGCTCATCAATGATGAAAATAGTTCTGTGTTCGATCTTGTGATCAACCATAGTTATATCATCGTAGTAGAGAATAAGAAGTGCTGTCGAATGTTCGACTGTTATCAAATCACCTACGAGTAGTCAAAACTCATCGAAACAAAAATTTATACAAGCTTATCACACCATTTTCTGTACAGAATGTAGCCTGATAAAGCCCATCCTATTAGGATGTAATGAACAAAAGCTGGTCTATCAATAGCTGTCTAATACAAGTTTCCAGACTCTATAAGAACAAAAAAAAAACACGTTTTTTGAAGTATCAGTTTTCACTATGAAAAACGAAACCATGGATATTCTGAACTATCAAGAGATTCAACGCTAAAATCATATGAAAAAGTCTCTTGGTCGATCATATTTTACAGATGAAACTCCATGTGTCTTCTTTCTGCCACTGAAATAGAAGCATCAACCACTCAGAAAAAAAAAGACTCAACGCCAGTAATCCAACGTTTCATATGCTTTAAGCAGCCATTAATGGTCTAAAATCCACTTTTTAGGAATCATGTGCTAGAAATTTTTAAGCAAGTAAATGATTATATAGAAATGACATGAATTTATTTTAGTTTCTTATTTATAATATAAAATATCGTTTTGAATTAATGAATATTTTTTTTTTCGAATAGAAAATCATCAATTTAAAATTCGTCCATGTCAGATATTATTTATTAAGAAGAAGAAAACAAAATACTCGTTACACTTGTTTTGTTATAATACAGAGTAGAAACGTCGTGAACAAAGAAAATAATCTGCACCGGGATTTAACATTCTATTTAAATAATACAACAAAAGAGAAATATATATATTAAAAACTATTGTAATTTTGTCAATGTGCATGGATGAGACGATGCAACATGAAGAAAAAAAGGTGATTCACGATTTGGATCAAATGTTGCTGGACGAATCGTATATGTACCACCCGGTATATTATCAAGTGTTAAGACACAAAATCCTGATCGATATGCACCTGATTCTGTTTTATGAAATTCTCCAGGAGCATTGGAAACTTTAGTCTCGGTACATGTCACTTCAAATCCAACTTGAAATTGTTTTGGTGCACGTAATTCAATTTTAACTAGAAAGAAATTAAATATAAAAAATAAAAATAATAATTGTGTTTGCCTAATAATTTGTACATACTATAATTATTTGCATCACGATTATTTAATACAAGTTGATAGAGTGGATTATTTTTATATGTTGAAGCATTGTTTTGACAACCGCCAGCTGTTTTTTCTTTCCATTCACCAGTTATTTCTTGTTGATATCGTGGATTATAATAATCAGGTACTGGAGTCAAGGTAAATTGACATGTTGAATAAACACGTAACGAATAATATATGTCAACATTTTTTTCATATTGAGATACCTAAATAAAAGGGATATACTTTATATAGATCAACTCAAAATTTGTTAAACTGTTATGTCTTTCTGTTACGGATTATTTCTCCTGGTCTTATCATGCACTCTTTGTTGGGATTTCTCCCATACCTTTTAATACGTCTACCTCAGATAAGGTAGACGTATTGAAAAGTATGGAGAGAATCCTAATCAACAATCTATGCTAAGACAAGAAAATGATCCATTATACTCAAAGTGGTACATATACCACGCCCGGCAACAAAGGATCAACTAATACAAAATCACTTTAGAATTTAAACTAACGTTTTAAGTTGTTTGAAAGCAGACAAGAGAATTTCAATATGAAAAAGAACTAGATTATTATTGTTGAATAAAATTCAGAGAAAAAAATTTCAAAAAGCTATAACTAAGATTTTACAACTTTACTCTTTCTCAATAATATGTCATTGTGAAGCGAATTTAAGATGAAAAGAAATCAAGGTGGACTAGAACATCATTTTAAGCAAAGATGCGAAAAAGAATTGAAAAAGAAACACAAATCCTTTTTAGACATATCATTAGAATTCGTCGAAAATAAATAATGACAACAACTTATGACATAAACACTCGTCGCATTTGATAAAACTCACATCTATTTTCGAAGAAAATAGTTAATGTAAGTTTAAATCAAAATGTTTGCAACATCCTAACCGATACAATAGAACTTCTAAATGTAAATGTATTTTCTAAGTTATCAATTATAAAAATAGGTATATTTTTGATTTATTCCTTTATTTGACACTTTTTCTAAATAAACTATTTTAGTTCCTCTGATGGAAGGCCTAAATTTCGACCTAAGGAAATTTCGGCTTGCGCTTAAACTAACTGGTCTTTCGTGGAACCGTACTGTTAATTTTTTTTTCTAAAACTTCCTGGCCCATTTTACCTTCATTGTTCTATCGCTTTACGAAGAGTACTCATTTCTTAGTCGCGATTTCGTCTACACTTTACAGACAAATTATTGTCAAGGTATAATTAACATTATGTTCTCGCATTTCTCTCTTTTTCTTTGTGTATTTAACCTTGTTTGTAAGCGCACCAGAACGTTACAAATGCAAGACATGCATTAAAAAAAAACAAGGTGAAACTTAGTGTAAATAAATAAGATAGTCGCTGTATAGTCGATATATTTAGATGTGTTACTGATATCACACTATTAGAAAACTCATCTCGATTACTCACCTTTACTATTCAGCTTTATGACATAATCTATCATTAGGATGAAAGCAAAATCATGAACATAGATGTATTAGATATAAGATCTGTTCTAAATTCAGTTACGGTTAGGCTTTTTTTTAGATTTCTTAGAAGTTCATACAGTTCAAATGAGTAGAAAGCCTCCGTTGAATGAATATATGAATATACCAGATTAAAATTTAAGACTACATAACATTTATATACTATCGGAAAAATGTCGTTTTAAAAGAAAAATTGTTTACCACAAGGGTATATAATGTTTGTCCATTTGAATCATTATCATCAGTAACAAGTTTAACAAGATAATGTGCAGAATTTGTTTTAACACCATCCTGTAGAGGTTTAATATCATTTGGATAATAAACTTTATTTCCACCATTTTTATAAACAAATAATGTTATAAATATACGATTAACAGCAAAATCTTGTCGTTCAGTTATATGCCGTGTTAAAAGAATCTGTTTAATATAAAACAAAAATAAAACTATTCATAAAAAGAAAAAGAAAATGATTTATTTAACAAACCCATATTGATGATCGTATTTTTGGATTAGCTCGAAGTACATATTGTGGATTATCACCAAGATTATAAAGATCTTTAACAGGTCCTTGTCTAGCTGGCCATGAATTATGTATACATGATGTATAAGAAAATAATGATGGAGACCAATTAAGATAAAAATTTTCAAAATGATGACATAAACTATTATAATCAATCCAAAAAACTCCATTATCAACATCAACTTGTAGTTTAGGATCATAATTAAGTGCTTTTATTAATTCTGGTGTCCAATTTCGAGTATCATAATCACTAAAATTACCTTTCCATTCTAAATGTGACCAAGGATTTTTTAACATTATTAATTTATGAACACCAATTTTACGCATATCAACTAAAGCATATGCATGACTTGAAACAAGGCCACTACGTTCTTCTTCTTCTTTTGATATATTTGGTGTAGCTTAATAATCAAAACAATGATAACAAAAAAATGAAAACATGAGGCCGTTTTTTTTATAGATATCTTACCAACTGTAATAAGTACATGACCAGCATGAAAACGTTCGAACATACGATCAAATTCTTTGTCTTTATCAAATGTTGAATCATCATGATGAATTGAGACTAGTTCTGGTATCCATCCTATATAAATTTCATTCAATTAGAAATCTATATTTTGAATGTTTTTATTATACTTTAAGATAACATACAAAATAAAAATAATGACATAAGATCAAAATCTGCTCTAACGAACGGTTGAGAAAGAATGGATCTCTCTGTATTTTTTATATTTTCTCAGCTGTCTTTCAACATTGTAATAGTTTTTGTCGTAAGTTCGTTTAGATCCAATGAAACAAATAGATTCAGAACACATTACTATCAAAACTTTTTCTGTATTGGGCTGTGTAAACGATTTTATTAGTCCGAAACTAGCTCTAATGAAATCTTCAGAAGAATCGAAGACGTAACTATTTGACACAATTTCATTGAAAATTTTTGCATATGGTCATTTTCGGCACTCTTCTGCTTTCAATTATTCATACAAGAGAATATTGATTATCTTTCGTAGATTCTAGACATCCAGGACGACATTACATGAAAACTGATAGTGTAATTTTTAATAGCTTAACAAGGTAACATATACGCTGACATATGGGTTATTTATTGACATAAAAGTCTTTGTTCCTTATGTTAACATTAGTCGGAAAACATCGCTAGTAAGAATTAAGAGTCTTTTTTACTGGGAACAAAAATCAACAAGAATAAAACATTCCTAAGCAAATTATGCATTATTTGCGACTGCTTCTTGCATTCTATTATAGAATGTCCCTTAACTCGTACGCTAATATAGTATTAGCGCGAGAGTTTCACGTTTGAGTTAATGGTTTTCTAAATAAAATTCATTGTTCTCGAAATAGAAACACTTTTGTTGAGGAATCATTTTATATTTGAAATCAACATTCAATTTATGTATAGTATATTAGTCTTTCTATAAAAGTATTTTTTTTTTGATTTATCTTTTTCAACGTAAATCGACACTTGAGAGATGATAAAGTAATTGTGAATAGAAAATAAGACCTTTCTAAGTTGAAAATGCACATATTTTGCATATTCTATTGAAAAATACACACTAAGTGATAAGTGATTAAAGGCTTGTATAATAAAAAGAAAGAATGATAAAATCACTCACAAGATCTAATGCAAAAAGAATTTTGACAATAACGTATTCTAAATCCATTCGTTTCATTAAGTCAAAATAAATGAGATATGGTATCCCATTTATGTGAATACAAAATACTGAGAAGTTCATTGTTTATGAACGACTTGTTAGCTTTCTTTAGAAATAAAAGGTATGATATAAATACCTGTCAGTGCATGAAGATCAACTGTTGAATTTGAACCAGGAAAATCATATCCACCCATTACTTTCATATATGCTTTTTCTAATAAACTAACCCAAATTTCATTTTTATTTGTTGTTGATGAACAAAGTAGACCTAAAATATTTGTAAATTTTTTTTGTTGATTTATTTATTTATTTATTTGATTTAAATTACGATTTGAATGATCAATCGGTAATGTATCATCAATAATAACTTTTCGCCATACACCATTTAAATGAAATCGAACCATATATTTTCCACACGGATTATAAATAGGTTCACCTAATTGAAAGGAATAAAAATTTTTTTGTTTACATTTAAAAAAAATATTCAACCTTGTTTATTTTGTGGATAAATAATTGATGTAATTAAACGTTTATTAAATTTTTTTTCATATTGTACACTAACAGCAAGACTAGCAACAAATGAACAATCCGATATTAGATCTTGTTTTATTGAAAAATAAGATAAAGCCATTATCATTTTTGGTTCCGACATGATTTCATCTGGTCGTGCCCAACGTAAAAAATGTGTTTGTTGTTTTGGAGCTAATTTTAATGGTCCATGTGGATCAACAAATGGTGTTTGATATGCAAAACGTTCACGTAAATCAATATTAAAAAATGGTACATAATCACGACCATTAATTTTTGATCCACGTCTTAAAACATCAAGTTCATGTGAAGATAATTTAGCTCGTTTATCAATTATATTTATGTTTGTTTGATCAATATCAAGAGGTTGTTGTTCTTCTTGTTGAATGATTTCATCACGTGGTGGTGATGGTAAACGTATATGAGATGATGAATTAAGTTCTGTACGTTTAAGTTCTTCAGCACGTTCTAAAGCTAATTTAAACAAGAAAAATAGGAAAACAAAATATTTTAGGTTTTAAATTTGTAATCCGATCTTTATCTTTTACCTTGATAAGCAATCTTTTCAAGTTGTTCTTTTATTTTGGAATTATCATTGGTTTTTTTCTCATTTAAACAAAGTGTTATAGCTTCTTGATAAAGTTTAAATGCAGTATCATATTGTTTTTGTTCATCTTGATCAAGTGCTTGTGTTAATAAATAACGAGCACGTTCAACACCTTTTTCTGATGTATTTTTTAAATGAAGACTTGGTGTTGGTTTTGATTTTAAACTTGCTTTAATTGCTTCAGCACGTTTTATATAATCATGAATTAAACGAACGATTTCATTTAAATCAATTGATGATGATGTTTTTGATTGTTCTTGTCGACCAGATATTAATTGTTCACGTACACTAATTAATGCTTGAGCAGCTTCAACATAGAAAAATACAGCATCTTCACTTTTACCTTTTGAATCAAGATCAACAGCTTTTAATGCATGTTTACGTGCATCACTTTTGAGTTTATCGATATCAACCATGAATTTGGCGATGGAAAACTTTAAATAGAATGGAAAATAAAATAAGATATATTTTGTTGACGTGAGACTTTTAGTCACTAAATTTACGATTGGATTTTATGTATCTGTTATAGCGTCATCTCATAAATGACTTATAGTTACCAGTGCATAGCAGAGACATCTAGCTTACAAATTTTAGTGCGCGTCAAACAGAATACTTTTCAATGAAATTTTATGTTCTAATACGACTCTCAAAGACAGAACTGTAGACTGTTATGTCTGGACATGTGCAGGACTAATCCCAGTCCTAAACACCGGGGTCGAGCATACCTAGCATCAGATCAGCCGGTTTTCATCGATTTTTTTTTCTTAGTTTTTAGGATACTAAAGCTTGCCTATTTTGCCTGTTTTTTAACGATTTACATGATCGTATTCAAGATGCCAGCTCCGAATAACGAGCTAACACTTTCTCATTATAGAATGAAAATCTCGAATCATGCTGAATGATTTTATTATGCTCACAAAAAGTTAGTTAGGTATGCGAAGTTAATCTTGGTCTAAATTAAAGTTTTTTCATTTCGAAATTTTGAATGTGTTTTTTTGTGGACTAATCTTAGTCAGTTGTTTTCAATAAATATTTTCATTATAAAATGTCAGAAAAGGTTCTGTTCTGTCCTCAATATCTTCCTAACTACTAACAACGAATAACCATGAAAATATTTAGATGAATTAAGAAATCCCTTTAAGTTGTGTTGAATAATTATTTCAAATAAAAAAAGATCAAACATATCAATTGTAAAGAAATCATAATATTGTTGATAAAGTCAGTCAAAGCAGAGTATAGGTTTTGTTCGATAATTATTTGCTTTGAATTATCAAGTGAAACGTTTCGAAAGAATTCCCAGTTCATTCTTAATATTTAGCACATAAAATGTGATAGACTAAAATAGGAGTTGTTACTATTAGAAACTTCAAGAATTACATGAATTTTACATTGTATATCTTCATAGAACTTAACTAATATTAAAAAAACTGCGATCAGCAGCAAGTATGAGGTTAGGACCAAAATATAAAACTTTATCAAAACCGAGACGGAAATCCGATATTCCATAATATCCTGAACTCTGTAACTTTTCAAGTGAAGTTTTTCGTAGATGGTAGATCAATTTATTATTTGCATGTTAATATCTTCGAATACAATTTTTTCTGATCATTTCTAGAATTCAATCGATTTTTAAATGTGAAATATTATTAAAATTATAAGAACTACTTATTTACGAAGTCTTTTACTAAGTTTTTTGATTCAATACAACTCTTGCCTGTACAAAAAAAATGGCCATAAATTCGAGTTTTTTTTATTTAGTTCTATAAATCATAATGTGTTTTAAGGCAGGTAATTTATTGAAAACAAAGCTCCAAATATATGCTACAATAAAACTTTAATCAAAAATTTCAAAAAATAGAACACAGGCAAGAAATTAAATAATACGTGAGTTTAATTTGTCAATATTGTCGTCCATTTTGTTTGCATGTTATCTTTTAAAAATAACAAAACCCAATTCATTCATTGTCAGACAGCACTCGAAATGATGATTTCAATCATAATGGACTTTTTAAAGTACCTATTCAGATTTAAATATTCCTATATCAAGAAATCATAGTGACCAATGCTCATAATACATGGAAACAAGAAACTATCAGTACATAAACCTTTCTGTTAATTTATTTTGCTGAATAAAACACACCCAAATAATATTACTCGATTATCGATTAGTGTTTGTGACAGAATACACTATAATCAAATATGAGATGAATGGATAATGCACACAAAATAATTGTTTGTTGATTGTTTGCTTCTCAAGCAATGTTTTGACTATACAATTTACTATGGACGAATTGAAAGTACATGAAGTAAAGTACACGAAAAAAAAATATTCTCGCATCATGCACAATAGTAAATAAGTTTTTGAGTACACTTAAGGCAAGTCAATACAGAACTCATCAATAATATTGAGCAAAATTCAGGTCACAAGTTTTTTTTTTCAATCGAAAGAAAGATGCTGAATCGATCTAATTTTGACTGAATATAAAACCAATGAGTAACACATAGCAAGCAGCTTTTCATCTATTGTATTTCATTTAAAATATGATTTCGATCGTACTTATTTACTTGAAATAAGTGTATTCGTGAATTGCACAGATCCAAACTGTCTTCATGCCTGTTGTTCGATTTGTATCTTACAATAAAACAGTAATTGCAGGAATCTCGATCTTCAGTTCTCCGCTAAAGAATATCGTAGAAAGTTTGTTCTATTTCTTATTAAAATAGCACAACTTGAACTTCAAAAAACATAAGAAAAAGTTATCTAGGATTAAGTTAGAGAGAAAAAATGAGTTCGATATCCAACATAGTCAAAAGAGCTCTTGCAACATACTGTTTTCTTTATTTTTTTGTGGAGTTTGAAGAAAAACTTTTTCTAGAAAATTTAATCGATGAGAAAGAAGTCGTTACAAATCTTTATCGATTTTCATACTTTAGGAAGTTTCTCAAAAATTCTTTAACATTAAATAAATCTTTGTTTTGAGAAAAAAGAGAGATAGATTTGAAGGAGACAAAAGTTGCAAGAACTTTTTTCCTCATTCAAAATTAATCTCGAACGAAATTTTCCTATGGTTTTTGAAGCTCAGATTTTGCTTTTTAAACATCGCCGGTTAATAGAAGACTTCAGATGAGAAGATGAGAGTGTTGGTATTCATTTAGTCTTGCTATCACGTTCAATCGTAAGTATTGAATAAACAATGAATACAATTTTGTTTTTAATCTTAAATTGCCCAAGTAATTTTAATAGAGTTGAAATGAAACTCTGTTCATTGCATAGGAATCAAAATACAAGATATATGCATAACATAAGAAAACTACATTTTATTTTTCATATTTTATGATAAAAAGTAAGTTCAAATTCACTATAAAATGAATTATTTTTAACTAAGGTGTTCATGCAAAAGGGACTATAAGATTTTTTTATAGTTTTTGACTACAGAAAGAAATATATGTAGTCTTCTAGAAAAAGATGTTCTCTAGAAGTCTACAAGTATCCCGTTCTATAGCTAAGACCTTATAGTCACTTTTTGTTTTGTACATCTTTCTATATTTAAGGTTAATTTTTTTAATCTTCTTGTATTTAACAGAACTTTGAAAGACATTTTCAAAGGTATCAATCATTGATATTGAAGATGACAATACAATCAATTCATATAAACAGTAGATATATATATTGTATGTGGGAGACATGAAAGGATAAATAATCTACTTTTTACAGTCGAAGTAAAGGAGAAAAACAAGAAGTCACGATATGTATTTCTATTTGGTAGCAACACGAGTTTTTTTGTTCCAAGAAAAATTCGCCCCATAAGTCTTTTTAAAACGAGTTGGTGTTGGTGGTTCGGCAACCTCATATTTATAACCTAGAATTATTACATTAATTATCAAAAATTAAGATTAAAAAATAACAAAGTCATACGAACCCATTCGTTCACAATAAATAATTGCATCTTCTTTACTACCAAATTCAACTATAACTGATGAATGAGGATCACTCCTATAAAAAATGAAAAAAAGAAACATAGTTATAGTCAACATAAAAATATATTCTTCTTTATAAATAAAAATACTAACGATGATGTCCAACCCATTAATGGATTTTCCCAACGTTCTTTTGTATCCCATTCAACTTTCCATTTTTTCTGATTATTTGTTCCTGATTGCATCGCATTTCGAGCAGATACAAATATTCGACAACGTCGTTCTTTAAACATATCTCGAGGTACGCCGGATAAATGACCAACAGATTCCTTTACAAAAGAAAAAAAACTTAAACACACAAAAGAAGAGCCTTCAATTAACAAACATCTTGACTTGGAATTTCTGTTAAAGGACTCGAATCGATTGGTTTTTGAGTATCAACAGCTGTACGACCCCATACATTTTGTATATCAAATAATGTTCTATATATATAAATATGATTCAACAAAAACACAGATCAAAACTAATCGATATAGTACCGTTGTGGAATCGAAAATAAATTGACTCGTGACAACCGAACACTCGTTTTTAATAATAAAGAATTCATCTAAAAAACAACAACCTAATCTTACACATATATGCATATATTTATATGACTAATAAAAGTTATTTAAAAAAATTTCCGACTAAAATACAACCAAGTATCATCAATCCTGTTATACGATTTGATACAAATGTATTCCAACATGATTGATTATTGTTTAAATTAACTGTTTCAATTTGTCGATGAAGATGATATCCAACTCCAATTAAACCAATATAATAAGGCCATGTTTGATCAACACTAAGACCAGCTGTAATTAAATGTGTTATCATACCAATAGAAAAAGCTCGTAACCATAGTTTTGTCTTGTCTCCAAGAAGAAGAGCTGTTGATTTAACACCGACAATTAAATCATCTCGTTTATCTTGATGAGCATAAATTGTATCATAATGAAGTGTCCATGCAATACCAGCAAAATATAATGGTATAATAACTGATGGATAAACAGCACCTGTTGCTGCTGTAAAACCCATTAATGCACTCCTAATAATTTTTTTTTTTGAAAAATAAATTAAGTTTCTTTTTTTAAATTAGTCAAAATAGTTTACTAACCAATTGAGTGTTATACCAAGAAAAAATTGTGGCCAATTTGTATACCGTTTCATGACTGGATAAATAATAAGAGGTACTAATGAACAAATACCAATGCCAATGGTTGGTATATTTAATTGAATAAGTATTAAAAAACTTAATGATAATTGAACACCCGCCCATATAAGTCCTTGTTGCATTGTTATTTCTCCACTTGCAATTGGTCTTGATTTTGTTCGTTCAACACGACGATCATATTCTCTATCCCACAAATCATTTACTGTACAACCAGCTCCACGCATTAATATAGTTCCAATACCAAATAAACCGATTAATGAAAGATTTGTTAATGTTGTACCAGCAAATGCAATACTCCATGCACCAGGTAAAAATATAACCCAAGCTCCAGTTGGTTTATCAATACGACTTAAACGAACATAAGGATGTAATGGTTTTGGTATTACATTAAATAAAGTTCGAGGAAATGAATATGAATTTTTATTTGGAGAATTATTCACATAAACAGACGTTGATGGAATACGTGTAATTTTTGAGCGTAAAAATAATGGACATCTTTGGCGTAGTAATGGAATCATGAAGACGATCTAAAACAACGAACTTTATATTCTTAATGTTGTAAAATATAAAATATAAGTGAAATTTATTAGTATACGAATGTGAGCAAAAATTTAACCGATCAATTACCAGTATTTTACTTGCTCTAATCACGTTTTCTTGTTTTCATATAATCTTGATAGAATTTCTACATATGTTTAAAAAAATAGTTTGAAACAAATACACGAACATAATCTAGAAAAAAATACAACATGCACCAAACATTGATGTCAATGTAATGCATGACAGTGGAATGGATAAAAATGGTAGATAATGGGTAATTATAATGGATAATAATTCAGATAAATAACATTTTAAAAACCAACACGGAATGCATTATCATGCATTTTATAATTCATAGAAAAAGCTTTCTTTAATATAAAGAAGTCATGCGTTTACAAATCCATTGAACATTTCGTTAATCAGACAGCAGTAGTAATCATTGTTCTTGATACCTTTCTTGCTGGCTATTTGTTTAAATAATATATGTTTTGAGTATTTTTTTTATGAATTACTTATCAAATAATAAAAAGTTATCTGAAAATAAAAACAAATCTATCAATTAATATATTATAAAATTGTTCAGTTTAGTTATTGCTTTATTTGAAAGACAAATTATCATCTACACGTGATACTAGCACGAATAGATATAAATAGCAAGGAAAAAAGAAGTAATTCATCACAGAATACTTAAACAAATCACAATATTATTCCTTTTTTTTGGTTGTTTGGATACAACGATCATGGAAAAAACAGCTCAATGCTGAAAGACCAACAAAAAAATAGCCAAACCCGCGACGAAAAATATTTTTATATACCCATCCAATACCAGGTATTCCATCAATCATATCTGCAAATGACCTAAAATAATACCACAACTTAAATTTACAAAAGAAAACCAAAACTTAAGATAATAATATACTAACCACATCTCCTCATGTCGAAATATTTCAAATAGTGGTTCATCATCATTTTCATTGTTTAATAAACGAAATTCATAAACCAAAATTGAACGTAATGGATATGTATAAATCCAAGAAAATTGTTTTAAATTCATAATACCATCAACAATACAACGACCTGTTGTTTTATCATCATTTAATTTAATATTTAATTGAAATGTATCAAATGTAAAATGAAACATATTATGAAAACCTATCATGTACAATGTAAGTTTTATTTTAAAAATATCAAATCAATTACCCTTCATGCCAATTCGATAGAGCTGTTTATTGCCACCTTCTTGCCAAGGATCTTTAAAAATAACATCATCAGCAATATAGGGTAATACTCTTCGATCAAGTTCAACACTAGATACACTAGTCGTATATAATAACCGTGTAATGTTACTAAATTGTTCTTCTAATTGACTCATAAGTTTAGTTTGATAAGCAGGATTCATCGAACGAGTTCTCAGACTTTCAGACATGATGAAGAATTTTAAAAAAGTAATTTATAATACGTAAAAAAAAAGTAATAAACAAAAGTAATTCAAGCTGAGACCAAAGTTTAGTTGTGAGAGAAATAAATGATGACTTTCTTCAGAATCGTATTGGTTAACTGTTAACGATCGGACGATTAGCAAAAATAAGGAAAATGAAATGGTTTCCTATTTCTATATAGATGTATGACATCTATTGACAATCTTATAAAAATATTTATAATTAAAATTTTAAGAAATTATTATTAGATTAGAATAGAAATTATCATGGAATTACGTTTGTTGTAAATGGATTTTTTTTGTGCAACATATTACATAAGAAAATGGTCATATTTATTATAACGATGAAATGTATCATAGACCTTTCGACCGCTGCTTTATCTTTATAACACAACTGTAGAGAAATAAAAGAGTACTTTTGTCCTTAGAGAATTCAAGAGTAATTAACATTATGTTGTACAATAGGGAGGATAGACGTAACTGTCTGTCTATTGAAAAACAAACGAAACATTTATTGATTATTTTTCCATATATTATCTAATGATAGTAATACTTATATGTTGAGTTAAACGAATTTAAATAATTAATTAATCGATTTTAATTATCTATTGAATAAAAGATAAATTTTATTCAAATCTTCATTAATAAATAATGTACTTAATTCTTTTTCTTTTTATGAAAGATTTTCTAAACATTTTTATTCTATAAAAGAATATCTCTTTTCTTTAAACACTTCATTATTTTATTGTATCTTTGAGACATACATAATAATTCTTCTTTCTTTTTTTGCATCTATCAAATAATGAATATAATAATGTTCATTTTTTTTTTTCATTGTTATTCATGAGAGGAAAGTTTCCCAATTGGTAAAATTGACTCACATGTGAGTTGACGTCAGAAATACTAATAGAATAATATAGACGTCTGGCATTATGATTCACTTTTTTTCTTACAATAGAAAATACAATCATACCAAGTTTTTATTACATAATAATATTAAAAAATATATAACTCGATCATATATAAATTCTTTACTAAAATAAATATTACACATTTTAGGTAATTAACTGATCCTATGTAAGACCATATCTTTAATGTTGTTATTGTATGCTTTTTGTCATATGATGCATATTTATTTCTTTATAAGTGCATTTAATACCTTTAGTACACATAGAAGTTTACCATTAAATTATTCTCATCGATTTTTTCATTCACACAAAATAATGTTATAAAAATTTACAATCTTTTTTTTTTTTAATACATAGACACAACATTTATGATGTATGTAGGTCATTGCTTCGTTTAAACTTCGATATATTTTATTCATAAGTTTATCTTTCCTTTTCTATATTTAGTATCCATGTCACGTTCTTTCATTATCGTTCTGTTAGTACGCATAATTGATGAATCAGAGAACTAGTATGTTTTTCAAGGACAACTCGTACGTCTTTATCGTTGTTGTCGGATAATTCCATTATAAATTAATGGACAACTCGATGTCGTATTATCATTAGGAAGTTCTTGTTTCGGAGGTGTTTCAGTAATGTACACATAAACTGTCAATGACATTCGTCACAAATGTTTATATTATCCGATATACACTTATCAAATAAGGATAAAAACTAGAAAGATAACATGTTAAAGATTTCTATTATAAGGTCTGAACGTCTTGTTTCAATGAAAATGTTGAAGAGAATGAAGAAAAAGAAACCCTTGAAAATTGAAGTATGGTGGAATAAAATTCATTATATGTGCATGTGTATACATGATGATGTTTATCTTTCATCAACTTTTTCTTCCTTATACGAAGCTCAATACTGATGGCATGTTTCTATTGAAAATGTATGTTGTAAGCTTGAAGCAAAAATATTATTTTATCGATTATCAAATCTTCTTGTGATTATATATGATGTACACAAGTAGGAGAGCAATTGAGATGAAAAAAGAATGGTAAATGTATGTAATGTAAAAAAAAAAAAGAAGTGTTGGAGTACAAAAAATTTGAATGCTTCGTTTGTCGTTTGGCATTAATAAACGACAGAAAAATGTCATCTTCTTTCTATGCATAAATACCCTTTTTTTCTTGTCTATCAAATTCAAATATTGTCGTATGATTAAATATAAAAACTGACAAACTAGATCATTACCATACCTTTTCGATTCAATGAATTTATCCGCCGTCGGTTGGCAACACATATTCGTTAGTTTTATTATTATTATTGCCCTCACATATCAGTCACTATTCTTGACAAACTAGATATCATTATCATTTTTGATATACTCACGCACACACACACACATACATACACATATTCATTTAGAACGCGTACGAATATGTTTTTTTTTTGTCTTGGCATGAGTAAAAAAATTGAAAAATGCTGTGCGAAGCATTATGTGTAATGTCTGATAAGACGCGCATGTTTGCCGGACAATAGTAGTAAACGAGCACCGTATGTAATATTGTATGAATGAAATAGTTAAAAAAAGAAAAAAAAGCGATGGAAATAAAGAACATGTATCTATAAATATATATATATATATGTATGTATATAAAGCACGAGAGCAAACAAACGGACGGTAAATGAAAAAAAGAGATATAAATTGAAAACGAGCTTAAATATATTGTGGAGTTAAACTGCTATTTGATGATGATGATAATGAAAATGTACGACGTGTTAATGTATTTGTTAGAATAGGAAAAACAGATGGATAAGTCTGTTGCTGTGATTGTTGTTGTTGTTGTTGTTGATCATGTTGAAAAACATCACTAGTATCATAAGAAGGTAAAGCTCGATTAAGTTCTTCCAATGAAAAAGGAAATTTTGACGAATTATATGATTGAACTGAACATTTTGTATAATCACTATTAATTCGATTTCTATAAACAAAAAATATTTTACTTTTGTTTATTCATTAAAATTATCTTAAATAGCAACCTAGTTGTTGTTGATTTTTGTAACGATTGATTAGTTCGTACATCGGAATGTCGTCGTAATGTTGACTCATTTGTATTTATTGCTGTTCGTGCTTCATGAATATCATGAATAAAATGACATCGAGGACCATATGGACAATAACCAGCTAAATAATTTGAGAAAAAAACAACAACAAAATCAATCATTAATCATAATTAATGCATTTATCATTTACTTGTATGAAATGTTCGACAATATTCTGTTTTGTATTTTGGATGACGCATCAATATTCTTAATTCTTTTACTCCATGTGAAAATTGACATTTATCGCCATATTTGCATTTACCAGTTTCTGTATATGGTCTGCATAATTCTGTTTTGTACCGTGTAACACATAAATGCGATTGTGCTATTGGCGTTGTAGGAATTGCGGTTGTTGGTATTCTTATTGGTTGATGTTGTTGTTGTTGTACTATATCAGCTATTGGTACTCGTGGAGATGATAGAGAAGATGTTGATGATTCTGATGACGAATAACAAGATGAGTTTGAATCCATACTTGGCATTGCTATTTTTATCTGAAAACTCAAGAGTAATAATAGTTAAAAATCTATGCCGTTTTTTTCTCTTGTTCTTTTACATAAAAGTTTAAAGAAAAGAAAAACATAAGAACGACTGCACAGCCAAGCGTGTTGTAAGATGAGAAGATGAAAAATGTGTGTGTGTAGAATGTAGATATTATTATGCGTGCATAGTGTATAGTAGTAGTTAAGAAAGGAGAATACCAAAGACAGAAAAGAGAGAGAGAACAGAACAGATCGAGTAAACGTTATGACGAAGACAGCATGGAAGAAATGGAACGAAAGGGAGGAGGGTAAAGAGCAATAGTTTGCAACAGCAAAACTCCATAATGAGTGAATGAATGGGCACACACTCTCTCTCATTTTTTTACGTCGACTTTTACAGAATATAAAAAGAAGGAGAATCGAAAGTAATGAAGATGAGATGCAAGCATCTAATATCCATTTATGATATATGAATGTATGTAAAACTTAATCCTTTTTTTTTCTTCCTGCTATTGTCTTCTTCTGGGTTTATTACAAGTACTGGTCAATAATGATTTTTTCCAAAATCGATGTACTTATCACCGGAAGAAAAGAGTACCATGGTGCGTCTTTTATTATATACATAAAGCTTAGTACTTGTCTTTGTTTCGATGAGTCTTGTGCGTATTCACGCGGCAATAATAGTGGGTCGGTGGTTTTTATAAGACAAAGTTCACTTATTGTGCACTTTTATTTTCTTTTTTTCGCTCGTTCTTTTTCAATGACTGTGAATATGTCAAAAAGAAAAAAAAGAAAAAAGAAACAAAGAATCGATGGAGTCATCATGGTGTAATTACAAATTTCAATTTTCATTTTTGAGTATCAAAAGGGGTCAATGCATACATATATATATATGACTTACGATTAGTTGATAATTGAACATAATAGATACGTATATGAGAACGAAGAGAAGATAAAACAAAAAAAAGGAGAAGAAAATATCTTGATCATATTGACTTTTATTCTTATGCTGTTGGTAAAAACCTTGACTTTACATCAAGAATGTAAGAAAAAAAAAAGAGAGAAACGAACAAAATGAATATGGATTGTTTGGCATCGACCATGTGTGATGTGCGACTCGTAAAATTGTATACGAGGTCAATGAAAGATAAAGTGAAAGTACACTCGTGCTCATTCACAGGATCAACAGAATAAAAAAAAAATAGTGCACGTATACTTATACTTCAGGTATTATCTATGTGTTTATTGAGTATTATCTTTAGTTTATGCAATAGTCATCATTAATCTCAGCTTAAAAAAAGTGAAATTCAACAATGTTTTGACAGTTACTAAATGTATCCAATATTCAATTAGCTTGTTATCATTACTCATAAACTTGATGTTAAGAAATTATAGTTTTGATTTTGTAAGAATGTCAAGAAAGAAAAATTTGTTGAGTCATACTGACTCATTCATATCGACCGTTGACAAATACATACAATTAAAAGCCGATAATTGCATACTTAATGATAAGCACGAAAAAGTTTCCTTTTTTCTTTCTAACAATCAAAATCTGGTGCACCATCGAGGGTAAAAAATCAAATGTTCGTTGATGAAAGTTATAAATGGCAACAGACGTGTATAGGCTTCTATTTAAATTGATATGCTGCTTGGCGACAATTGGAAGATCGAAAAGACCTATTTGTTGTGCAATATTCAACAATGTCCAACTGCATGAAGTGTTGAAAAGCAGCTTTTTTTTTTTTTTTTACAAAGATCTCATTGAATAAATATTTTGAGTTTTTCTTTTTTCTGATGTTTATTTTAAATAAGACAAACAGCATTATGATGATTCAATCATGTGTCTTTCAAAATGTTGCTTTAAAGAATTATAATTTATTATTTTAATAGCTGCCATACTATAACAATACATCGGATACGAGAAAAAGAGCATAAATATTACGTAGTTGCTGTTTTCAGATTCTAATATAACAGTCGCAAGAAGTTCCTCTGAAGGACAAAAAAGTACATGTAATTCAGCTCTATTGCTTGATATTTTGACTTTAAATAGAGCTAGGTAAACCCTGATAAAAAACAGACATCCGAGTTCGATAGATCTTAATGCAAAAGGATTTATGAGAAAAACATAGTTTCTTTTCTAGGGCTCAAAAAAGCCTTGTTTGACACTTTTCTGGTTGTCCACTATTTGAATGCGTTAGTTTCCATTTTCGTCTTAATAAGTAAAGATTCACATGTCTATATTATATTAAAGATAGAGTACTTCCATCTGCTATAGTCTTGAACGGTGTTAGCATGAATCTCTCCTCCATCGATGGTTGCGATCGTGAAATTTTGAAAGAAAATTTGATTAAAGCTGGGCATTCACTATAGAAAATTTCAAGGCAAATGGTTGAAATTAGCCGGAGATATGAGTCACATTTCAACGATTACCATCGACTCTCATGTAGGTATTATCTAAAGAATGCTTCATAAATCAAGCAAACTAAAACTGTTTGACATGGAATTTTTACTGATGATAGAAACAGCAGTGAGCTATTCGAACAGCATGAGATTTGTTTTCTATGTTGAGATATTCTTGTTTGCAGAAAAAAATGTATGTTAACTTTCTAGCTCTTCCTCCTGAAGATCGATCAAGCTCTGATTAACCTTTGAGATCAGAAAGTTGGACATGCTCTATTTTTAGTCGAACTATGAAACTAAACCATTACAGTTTAAGCATTGCTTGTCTGATAGCAGGACTTTTTGCGACTAGTGCAGTCTATAGATTATAACAAAGAAACAGATTCAAGAGTGTTTATGTCTGAATTGAATCGAGAAATAAACTAGATATTAACACTTTGTATATTACAAGCACATTATTTTTATGTTAGAAGTAGGTCAACGTTTTTTTAATTAAAAACTAGAATGTTTATTATCGTTTCATTTTTCCAATAGAATTCAGAATAAATATAATGTGTGAAAATTTGATTGGATTTATCGATATCTTATTTATGAGTGATGTAATAAATCAAATAATGTATTTTTCCGTGCACTCAAACAGAATATCTATGGTTCGTAAAAAAAAAAGAATAATCCCGATTTCTAACAGCATGATTTTGCAAGAGTACGAACACATATATTTGTAAAAAGAGCTAATCAGTTATTCTGTAAATAGCAAACATATGTTCGGATTCTCGCGCCTGCGCTGCTATATTGACAATTATCTTTTCGAAAACAGCAAGCAAAACGAAAAAAAACACTTCTAAAAAATCAACGATAGCACTATATTTTTCTTTTTTTTTTAAGAAATTTTCTTTTCATCAGGTAACATGCAACAATGATGATAAACGTATTCATTTATTTGTATCTATTTCGAATTTCATTTGTATTTACAAATCAAATAACTGAAGTAAATTCTTCCAGTCTTGCATTAGTTTCAAGTAAAAACGTAAAAGATACTAATGGCATTACTACATCAATAGTAGCCCAAAGTAGAAACCGTGCTAGTGTGCCTCAATCTTTGACATTGCTTATGAATTTTAAAGATGATGGTACAACATCGTTTCAAATTATGCAAGGTAGGTTTACATAAATTAGATTAGTAAATTATTCAAAAAACTATATATATAATAGCATAGAGTTTATTTCAATATATATTTTCTTTTTGAAATTATATTGTTTTTATTTTTCTTAAATAGGATCACAACTTGTTTATTTGGATAACGGTCTTTGTCAATATGGGCAATTATTTGATCCATCAACTGGTCGATGTCGTGATATTTATTGTCAAGAAATTAATTATAAATTTAATGGCACAACATGTATACCAGATGAAAATAAAACAATATTAGATGCTTATAAACGAATGAGTGATATTGATTTATCATTGACAATGATTATTTCACCAAGTAGTCATTATCCAAGAGGCAATTTTTCCAAACATCTTCATAGTCAAAGGAATAAGCCTTGTACGAATGATTGGATAAAAATGTTTCATGATACATTACATAGTGAGTTTATATGTTTGATTACAAGCGAAGTTGGATTTCTTTTTGTTTTTGTAACATAGAAGTTAAAGAGTACAATGATAAACAGTTTTTGAGTTTAGATTCTACGGATAAGATAGACCCTATTCAATTATGAAAATACACGAATGCTCGGAGATCGTCATTCCAAAGCTATAGCCATTTTAGGCCATAGCACGACATGTTATAATAAATCGGACGAAAGGTATTTCAGTCTGAACTTTGACCCATAGATAGGTATACTTGCGGTTAATATGTCCTAAAGAATGTCAGTTCAACACAATGCTTCCTTCGTGAGATATTCAATTTTCAACAATCACGTATATCACGTGTAAGAAACATTCTTATCACCTGAAATTTTTCAGAGCATGTTAGCCACAAGTAGGTCTAATTGTAGGCCAAAGTGCAGGTCAAAATACTTTTCATTTGGATTTTTGGTATATATCGTGTCATGGCCTAAACTTGCTATAACTTTGGAGTGAAGGGCTATGGGTATTCATCCTTCTGGAACTTCTGATATGTCACTGAGGCCTATGTTATGCGTAGAGTTTGAACTCAAAAACGATTTATTATGTACTTGAAACAATTACTTCGTCAGATGTTTCACTCATTCAAATAAGATAACAATGTATTTTTAATTTTATGTTTTATTTTTCTAGCTTATCTTAATATTGATTATGAACGTATTACTAAAATTAATTATCGTTTCAAAGAATATGATGATGAATTAATAAATCGACCTATGAGAAGTTCTAAGTGGAAGAGTAATAAATCTGAAAAGAATGATAGTATACATGTAATTTATCCAAATGATTTATCATATGATCAAATCAGTGATATACTATCAAGTAATAAATCTATTATTATAAGTTTTCATTTTTCAATCACTGATCGAAATTCAACATCAAGCGATACATTAACAGGTTTACATGTTGTTACTCTTCTTTTACTTGCATCTGAATTTCATGCTGTAATTGATTTATGTGAGAACTATTCAATGAAAGTCGAAACTGTATCAATTATTTCGGATAAAAATAAAACTCGGGACGAATTTTGTAGTGATCCAGATGTAATGCATCCAACCAAAAACGGTATTATACGTAGACGTGTACGACCAGATGGTGAAGTTGATTATGTTGTTGACGTACCTGAACTTGATACTACATACGAAAGTGGTGATTATACTTATATATTTATGGTTTCAACATTAACACAAAAAATATCAACAAATCAATCGGTAATCTTTAGATTTCGTTAAAAGATAAGAACCTGTTCGTAGCATCTGTATTATGCTGTAAGGAGTTTTAATGCCTTAGACCTATTTAAAAATACTCTAAGGACGGATTAGTCGAGTGATTTAGAAAAAAACACTTCTTTTCTGTTGTTTGTATGTCAACAATAGAAACGATTGAGAATCATCAAAATGATCTTGAACTCTATTTAACTACTATTTAGTAATGATCGCCAAAAGATGATATTATATTTCTTTTTATAATTTAGCGACTCATCAAACCAAAATCTCCATCGTCAAATCAAACTTCGACAATGAAATTAGTCTCTGTATGTAACCGTCAACCTCGAATAGTTGGTCGTTGTCCAGATAGTCTTGTTATGCGTATAGCACTGTGTGAAGTACATCAATATAAAAATTTCTCAATTCGAATTAAGCGTACTAATCGTTTATATACAAATCGTGAATATCGTTATGATCATTTTCGACCTGATTTATATATTGTTGTATGTAAACTTGATACATATAATGGTACAACTAGTGGAACAAAATTAAGTTTTGTTGAAAGAGCACCTGGAATTTTATCAACTATAGCTACATTTCTTTCTATAATTGCATTAGCTATAACTTTAATTACATTTGCATTATTTTCATCATTACGTAATTTACCTGGATGTAATACAATCAATTTAATTATTGCTTTAATGATAGCAGAAATTTTATTTTTATCTCAAAGTTTAATTATAATGACAACACCTAGTGTTTGTTTATTATTTGCATTAGGAATACATTTTTTTTATTTGGCAAGTTTTTTTTGGATGAATGTTATGGCTTATGATCTTTGGAAAACATTTCATAAAGGTTTTTCACTTTATGTGTATGAAATTCGTGAACGTTTACCATCTTATGCTTTGTATGCATGGGGTATGCCAGTAATTATTGTTTTAATTGGTATTATATTAGATGCAAAAAATGCTCGATTAAAACCATGTTATGGAAGATTTTTTCGTGGATGTTATGATGTTTGTTTTCGAACAAAAAATGACACACCATTACAAGGTAATCATTTGATTTTCAAGAATATATTTACGTACTCTAGCAGTTTCATAAATGGGAGTAGTAGTGGATATGTATCAAACTGATCAGTAATTTACTTCAAAGCAGAAATGTATAAAAAAAGAAATAATTTTCAGCTGACCTAATGAACTGACGTGAGTTCATTGAGCTAGTCACTAAGTCTAATATAAGACTAGAGTGAATTAGTTTTGAATTGCTTGCATTACGATGAATAATGATTGATACAAGAGAAGACTGTCTGCTCATATATTTTTATATGTATAGGTTGTTGGATTGAATCTGCATTAATGCGATTTGTATTATTTGGTTGTCCGGTAGCAATTATTCTCGTGATAAATTTTATTTTATATGCCTTGACTGTTCGAAGTATTCGACGAGGTTTGAGAAAAGGTAAAATATAGTTTTTTTCTTAATTTTGTTTCTTTCTTTTGTTTTATCATTCTTATTTTCTTCTAGTTCGGGTTCAAGTTGAACGTAAATTTCAACGTAAAAAACAAGTTGTACCTGGTGAACATGATGTTAAAATCTATATGCGTATGGCTGTATTAGCCGGTTTTGGTTGGACCATTGGTTTTATTTTATTTCTTTTACCTGATAATCAAAAAGGTTTTAAACGTTTTCTTGTTGCATCTGTTAAATATTTATTTATTTTACTTAATGCTACACCTGGTTTATTTATATTTGCTGTTTATGTATGTAATCGTCGTGTATTTTCATTATATCGTCAATTACTGACACAAATCTATCAATTTTTTCAATCGAATTTTGCAGAATTCAAAGAATTTATATTAAATCATAGTCGACTTTGTTTAAGTAAAACAAAAAATAAAATAGGAAACTTCAATAAAATTAAACATCAACAAAAACAAGAAGATATGCAAATGAAAATATCAGCTACGTCAACAGTGGTTAAATCAGCTGAACCATCAAATAAAACAACACTTACACGTTTATTATCAGAACAATCAGGTCGGTCATCGCCAACAAATTCCACTTATCACACATTGAATTTATCATCATTAGAAAAACAATGAAATCAAAATATTGAATCTAATTCATAGTTGTGTACTTACGTTTTTTATATTTCTTTTTTGTAAATACATAAAAAAAGAAAAATTTTATTTGAATAAATTGATAGTAGACATATACGTATATAAGACTTGAATTGGACAATTTGAAAAAATTGTTTACTTTTGTTTGTTTGTTGAAACACTTTAATAGATGAAAAAAATAAAAGAAATAACAACAGAACTTTGTTGTACTAGTCTTCGTTAGCCTACACATGAAAAATAGATCTGCAATCATACGAAACATCGTGTTGTAATTATTTTCACTTATTAAAATTATTTTAGACGTAGGAATAAACTTCTACTCATTAAATCGATTGTCAAGAAAAAATTGTGTGGATTTTACTGTGTGCCACCCAAAGTCAGAAAAAGAAATTCTCCTTCGAAGAGAAATTTCTTTGATACCTTCCATCTCTATAATTGATCATGTACTCTTATCAAGAACAGGCTGTTGTGAAAAAGAGTTTCTCTAGGAAATCTGAAACAAACCCTAGTCTTCTAACATTTGACATTTGTTTTTAATGTAAATATCAGAGAAAAGCTAATATATGAGAATGAAAACAATTTAAGAATTATACTCAATAGTTAATATTTGTGAGAACTACTTTTTTATGTTCAAATGAATAGATCATCATGTAAGTGTGACTTGTCGGAAATAAAAAAAAAGAATATAAAGTTTAATCAACACACATGTTTGATCACTTTTTTTCCTTTATCTATCAAGAATTTTCGTTCAATTTTCAAGGTCGGATTAATGGTCCTTTATTTAATGGGTACACTTGACAAATGGAAATATGAAATCAAATTGTCAGGAAAACTCCATTCGAATCGCGCAATGTTATCCTTTTCATGTCCAATTCAATTCACGCTCAGATAAATGAATTCATTCAGCAACTTATATAACACTTGCATCGTTGTAAGCATTGCAGAAACGAAAAAATTCAAACATTACAAAAGGATTAATAAAAGTCTTTATTGTAATACAAAGTATCGTTTCTTAGGTTGGAAATGATTATGTTCATAAATGTGTACATTCATCTAATGATGCTCAGCATTATTCATAATCATAGAAAATTCTTGCACGATTATCAAATCAGTTAAGTGTGCATAGGTATTTTGTTGATTACAGTTGAAGTCATCAACGTGAATATATACGAAAAAAGTGGTTTTTAGCAAATTCTCACGGTCATACCACGTTGAATACACTAGTGCTCGTTCGATCACTCAAGTTAAGTGACGTCGGGCTTGGCTAGTACTTGGATGGATGACCGCCTGAGAATACTAAGTGTCGTAAGCTTTTTTATTTTTCAAAAATATTGGCTTTTCTTAATTCGAATAACACCAGTTAATATACTATAATGTAAGAAAAATGTCAAACAACTTAAATGAAATTTTCTTGCAAGATTTTATTCAGAAATTGAGTTTGTGATATCTTCATTTACTTGCTGCTTGAGCTTATATGAAATTCACAAAAAAAGTTTCACTAAGACTAGAAATACTTTTAAAAAGTTCGTGCCCATGAACTTTTCGAGTCAAGTTATGATCGCTTTATTTAATTTTTGATCTACCATTCAGTGCAGAGATAGGTCTAATGACTCTTTGAACATTTTGAAAATTTCAGCCAAGAATAACATTCCTTTGTCCACAGATTAAATTTTCAAGAAACTAAGTTTTTGTGACAAAAAACAATTTGTTGGAATGGACACAAATCTTTGTAAGTCTTTTTAGTCTTACAGAGACCTTGTTGAGAGTCTAATATGTATTCAAACGACAAATTAAAGCTAGGAAAATTCTCATGTAAGACAAAAATAAAAGTCGATATAATGACAGTAATGAAATTGAACTTATAATAGTATTTTTTATTTATTTTCATCCGTTTTTATATCAGAATTAAAATTATCTGTTACTAATTGTTTTACTAAATTAAGTGCAAGTAATCTTTGTCGTTCGGTATTCATATCATAGTCTTGTTTATCACGTTGCCAACATTCATAATAAAGATAGGCATCGAACAGATAAACAAGATCACCTAACATTTGTAATATAAGTACACTAGTTGGATTTACAATGTTTAGATTCGTATAAAGACGATGAGCTAACGTTGTAGCAAATAGATAAATCAAACTAGCAACAGTATACATTATAAATGCCCACATATAAACATCCTAGATATAGACGACAAGAGTATATTATGTACTAATTATCTTTATTAATTACTTGAGGAACACAACCACGTTTTGGATTAGTTGAAGGTTTTCTTCGAAATGAAATACGCCATCCAAGAAATATAAAACCAGATTCAATTAAAAACGCATTAATACCAATAAGATTAAATAATAAAATATTTTTCATAAACTGACCTTTATTAAAAGCCAATAAAGCACTAATCAAATAAAAATAACTACCAAGATTTTGAAAAAGACAAGCAACTGATTCGGCTTCATATTGTATTGGTTCATTTCTATTTTGACGTGATTTTACAGCATACATATACCAATCAATTGTGTATAAAGCAGCATCAATTACAAATAAAATAGCAAGAAAAACATAGACAAAACAAGAAAGAGATTCATTAAATGATTTGAATATATAGTTAATTGTATCAATTGTTAAATATCCAAACATACCGAGAATATAAACTACATTTGCCCAGTAACTCCAATAAGAAATTGGTATAACTAATGAATCCATTCCATGTAAATGCAGGTCAATACTCTTATATAGATCGATGTGATATGCGTTATTAGTATTTGATAAATTCGATAAGCAAAAAAAAACCTTGATTTGATAATATTATTTTTGGGACTGGCAATACTATGATGCTATATTAAATACAACAGCTTGTCATCTATTCCACACATCATTAGGTCTTCTTTCAATTGTATTTCGTTTTATATTTCAATACATTTAAAATAGGTCGATTCATGCATCGACGAAATAAAATATTTAATTGAAAAAAAAAGGAAAAAAAGAGCCTCAAAAGTCATCGATTACTTGTTCTCTTTCCTCACACACGCAGTTTTTCACACGGTTGGTTTTGAAGTCGATGCAGCAAAAGCTGGCAAACCAGTTATAGCTCGACCGAGTATCAATGCATGAATATCATGTGTTCCTTCATATGTATTAACGGCTTCCAAATTCATAACATGTCGAATAATATGATATTCATCTGAGATTCCATTAGCACCAAGAATATCTCGACATTGACGAGCTATATCAAGTGATTTACCACATGAATTTCGTTTTATTAATGATATCATTTCAGGTGTTGCTCTAGAACAAAACAAAGAAAGTTCGAATAAATAACATTCATAGTTTTATTCATGCCGATTTTCATCTTTTAATTGACCAACACGAAGACATGCTTGAAGACCAATTGTTATTTCAGTTAACATATCAGCAAATTTCTTTTGAATCAATTGAGTTTGTGCTAATGGTCGACCAAATTGTTTTCTATTCGATATAAAATTTTACATATATATTTAGATATGTAATGATTGATACATAATAAATAGAACGAAATATTTTCCTGTTTTTTAAAGCATTTCCCAACACATGAGAGACTTCAATTGAGAATTTTCTATTCTACAAAACTACTGTCATTGTTTTTCAAATAAGTGGTTTCTTTTTTGTCGATGAAAAATTCAAAAGATAATCATCTAACTGTGAATGTCAAAAAATAAAACATTTTTCATAAGAATTCCACTAAAGTTTTAAACATGTTACAAAACTCTGTATCATTTGATATATATTTCTGGATTTTAAAAGAAATATCTTTTTCTAACGTAACTAAATCATTGTTCTTTTCCTGATGTGTCTATTCCTCAATTTAGCAATCATATCATTTTGTTAAGAATAATATTCAACATTGAGCTGCATGAGAACAAACGTGTCAAAGATCAAGTCTCACTTTGAAAACATGAATTTTCACAATAAGTCTCAAAATAGCATTAGTATTTTTCTTCTGAACAACGTTTAGCAACTGTCCTAATGAGCAAAGCGTTACATAAATTGAATCGTGCTTGCAGGAAATTAGAAATCGCAGTTCGGCGATTGATTAGGTACTCTTTTCTGAACTTTTACTCCTACAAATTAATAGTTAACTGAAAAACAAAGACAGTTACTTTAGAAAAAAAACAGGACTCTGTCGAAATATCTAATGTGTTAGGAAATGTTCTACAAAAAGGAAAATATATTGCTCCTTTTATTAAGTGCTACCTATTAATTTAAAATACTCACCGTTCAAGAGTGTACTGACGAGCAGTATTAAGACAAAATTCAGCAGCACCTAATGTTCCCCATCCGATACCGAATCGTGCATTATTCAAACAACTGAATGGACCCTAGTATTAAAAAATACAAACCTACTTTGGAAACTTCGTAACAATTCAATTAAATACATACTTTTAAACCTTTAACTTTTGGTAATAAATTTGCTTTTGGTACCTGAACATCATCCATAGCAATTTGTCCAGTAATTGAAGCACGTAATGAAAATTTTCCTTCAATTTTTGGTGTTGTAAAACCTTTCATAGATCTTTCTAAAATGAATCCTCGAATTTCTTTATCATCACATTTTGCCCATATAACAGCAATATCAGCAATAGGAGAATTAGTAATCCTTAAAAAATAAAAAAATAACTTATTCATTAAATTTTGGTTTTTTTTTGTGATTCATCTACAAACCATGATTTCGTGCCATTTAATATATAAACTTGTTTATTTTCATCCCAATGTGCTTGTGTTTCCAGAGAACCAGGATCAGAACCATGATTTGGTTCCGTAAGACCAAAACAACCAATTAATTCGCCCGTAGCTAATTTCGGTAGATATTTCTCTTTTTGCTCTTCTGTTCCAAATTCGCTGATCGGAAACATAACGAGTGATGATTGAACACTAAATGCTGAACGATAACCACTATCGACACTATCAACGAAAGAAAGCATGCCATTTTAGGTTAAAGACTGTATTTTTCCGAGAGATAAACAGCAGACGTCAAGATACAGGATGACTCATAAAAAACTTACTACTTTTGGTGATATTATTTTTGCATGCTTAACATTGAGTTTTTGATTCGATTCTCAATTTAAAATACAAAACTGATGGAAAGCTACCATTTCGAAAACGTTTCCATGTAATTTGAGGGAAAAAGAAACCTGTGAATAATAGTTATTTTTGGCTTAACATTTGATGTCTATAGAACAAATGATACACTCATTGAGGATAACATATGAACTTAAAAAAGGGTTTTTTTCATAAGAGTCTGGACACTAAAATCAATATTTTTTTGAATTTTTGATTTTCTATTGCTAATGCAGCCCCAAAATATCCTCTGTCATATGTCATATTAATAAGGAGTCTTCGTTGTTGGTTAGTGCATTTATGGAATCCTATTGTCCAAATTCCTAGCGAAAAAATTACACTACGATTATTCTATTCTATACAAAATTCTCCTAATGATGCTGATTATTTCTTATTTCAGAAGTGCTTAGAACTATAGATCATAGACCCTTAACACCACGGAACATGACCAATTTTCGATCGTTCTCGTTGAAGAAAAAAGTTTTAATACATGTAGAAGAATTTGTTATTCGTTTTTCTGGAAATCAATTTTTGCACAAAAACAATACAGAGTTGCCACTATTTCTCCAGTATAGTATACTTGATAGAGTTGAAACTTATGTTTACAGGTATTATATATCGTTTAAAATGCCTATTTTTTTTTATTTCGAAAAATATTGCTCTGTTGATTTTTAGGAGAAGGCTCTTCATTTTGATCTTTTTATTTGGATAGTAGGAAATAAAAAATAAACCAATTGTCAGCTGTATGAAACGTCTTTTAATTGAAAAAGGAGAACAATTTTTGGTCTATGCGACTTCGATACCTTCTAGAAAAAAAGCATTCGGAAATATGAACTCTAAGATCACTTTTGCTCTACGCATCGAGATATATATATATCTTGAATGTTTCAATTTTTTTTTTGATGAGTCGTTCTAAAAAAACTCCAGAAAGCGGGAGTTCTCTTTATCTGGATCAAAAAAACAGCAAGGATGCTTTCATTTTAGAACAGATATCATTTTTAATAAATTATCTTTGTCTCCATCTGCAATTGAGTGTTTTCAAAATGAAATCAATTGTATTTAGCAGCTTTTCCTCGGCTCTATCGATTGCAATAGGTGTTAGCTCGAAAACTGAATGTTAGCAGTGTACAAATTACTTCTTATACCGGAGTTAAGTTTTTTATGGCTAACCCTGTATATTAAAAGTGATAGCTCAAAGACTTCTTAAGATTGCAGTCTAAACTGTTTTCCTCTCGCTTTTTTCCTTACCGTTCGATTTCTCTAGCTAATAGTCCATATGCAACATATGAAATACCAGCGCAACCATAACCTAAATTTTGATATTTAAAAAAGATATAATAATAATAATAATAAACTACGTCAAAACCTTGAATAGTTGGACCAAGAACACCAAGTTCACCTAATTCACGCATTATTTCCGTATGAAAAACTAAAAAAAATCAATCTAGTTCAAAATTTCCAAATAAAAAAACATTACTGACTTTCTTTTCTATTTGCTTCAATTACTCTTGGCATTAATTTTTCTTGACAATAATTACGAAATTGATCACGTACCATTCGTTCATCATCTTTTAATTGAGATTCAAGGTCAAATGCATCTTCATAATTAAAGCGTACTTCTATATATAATAATAATAATTTTAAAATAATCTTCTAAAACAAAAACAAAAACTTATTTCTCACTTGTCGATGCATTTTGAATTCGCATAGAAAATGAAGGTTTTAAACCATGACGAATGATAGAAAATGTTCGATTACTAATGTTATTGAACATTTTGTGATCTAGAAAACAACAAAGTATTTTGTTTTGTAAATCATGATAATTGTTTGAAACATGAATAAAAGACTAATTAGTCATCTTTATACATATATCACATATCCGAAAATCAAAGTATTTAATGCGGTTTCGATATAACGCACAGAGCCACTCCACTTGTGACACATAGCATACCAATCAAAAATCCTATAAGCAATTATTATATATATTTAAAGAAAATCAATAAAATTTTTACTTGAATTTAATAATTGTGGACGTGAGATAACATCACATAAGTATGTTATTAAAAGTGTTAAAGCATTGGTTACAGGTACAGCTGTCGAAAAATCTAATAGAAAAATAAATCAAAAATAAATCATAAATAAATATTCTCACCAGTTTTTGAAAGACTATAGTAATAAAGTACAGAACCACATTGATTAAGTAAAAATGGAATCCAATACTACGCAAAATCAATAAATAATTTTAATTTTAAAATATATATTTTGTAGTACTTGTGCGTTGGTGAAAAAATACCATATTTCAGCACCAAATTGTTTTATCCGATTGTCATATTTTATTTTTTGTAAACCTGTCGAGCCCTGTTTTAAAAACCAATTCGTTATACCCCATATAAAAGCTGTTAATAAACAGAAAACGAACATAAAATATATTAGTGAGTAAGGACAAAAACAACACAACAGGCTGTGTGAAGTGAGCGAACCCGAAATCCATTAGTCCATGTTATACCATATTACATTTTATATTTATGATTTTATCAATAGTTGTCCTCACCTGTCGATGAAGTGTTCTATCACAATTTAGAAATTCCAAAAAGATACAGACTTGCTTTTTTTAGTTCCTCAGTGATTAATAGAGAAAAAAACGTGATTAAATCGAACTAGTCTATGTTTATATCTAGTTTATTTGTAGACGTTAATTTAGTATATCATGAAGTACTGAAACATAATTATTTTCTGATTAATATTCATATTAAGATTAGATTTATCACTATTTCCAATTTATTTTAATATTTGATATTTAATGATCGAAATAGAAAAAAATCAGTTAGAGTATTTCAATGACAAACAAATGATAAAAATAAAAAAGATGATGATTTTAGTTCAATTATTTTTTTTTTAATGTACCCTATATGATTGCAATGTCTTGATCTGATATTGATGCCCCACATTCAATACATATGAAGAAGAATCTGCAAGATTTTGTCATACATAGAATTACACAACTACAATATGACGATGTGAAATCAATGAAGAAGAAATAAGCTCATTACAGAGATGTCCATTGCGGCAGCGGCAGGTTTTTTAAAAAATCACCGCGGCAGCGACGCGGTAGCCGCAGATTTTTTTAAAAGTCATCGCGGCAGCGGCGCGGTAGCGGCAGGTTTTTTAAAAAACCATT